CATGTGAAATATAATGATCAAGAAAAAAATCACTATTGTGATTTTTTTTTAATTCAGAATATTATATTTTGCGAAAAGATGAAGAGAACCGACAAATCGAATGTCATGAGATCTCACGTGAACTAAAGAGTAAAGAAAGAGAAGGAAAAGGAACTAAGACAAAACAATATCAACTATTTTGTACGATTACGAATTGTTCAAAGACAGAGCACCATGGCTTCGATCTATGTAGACAGTACATACGGGAAGTCGCGACGCATCCTATTGCCATCATGATGACGATAGGAATGTTGTCGTCGATCAATGACACCTATAAATTTATTATTTCAATGAGACTATTTGAGGAGGATAGACAGCCATCATATATTACACGAACGATTATACTATTAATGCTAAATAAAATATTGTATACACTTAGCGAAAGAGCGAAGAGGAGACCAGACCAGACTTGGGCGGCGAACTTATCACGAGCCCATTGTCATCTGGGAGTAGATTCCGTCTGTCTAACTTTGTCAAAGTGGCGCCGGTAATGAGCTCGACCGCGACCTCGGTGCCGATGGCCGTGATTATGATTATTATGGCCATGATTGTGCTGCATTTGACGCGACTGATACTGCGATTGATGATGATTCTGCGGCTGATGGTGCGTTGATTGCTTCGAATGTTGCTGTGACAAAAATCAAGAACGCTCAAGAAAAGTGAAGTGGATTGAAGATTTTAATGCAAAATTAAAATTAAGATTTTAATGCAAATTAAAATTAAAATAAATATAAAACTACATTACTAGATTAAACAAAATGATTGTTGATAATTCCTGGTAGAGAATACTTTTAATTATATTTAAAATTAATTCATTTTTTAAAACGTCGAGAAAGAAGAAAAATGTTCCGTTTCATCCTATATTATATAACAAGTTTATATTTATCGATACTAATTACAATCAAAATTAAGCCTCGAGTTTAATATCATATTGTAAACACTTTAAACATTTCAAAAAAGATAAGATGAACAAAAACAACATTGTAAATAATTTAATAATTAATAATTCCAAAAACATCTCAAAATTGTTAGAGTATTTGTTTTTTATTTAAAAATTTATTATTAAAAACTATCGAGAAATCTATTATAAAATATATATACAATCTATTAAAATAATATTTTATTGTATAATATAGTGTGTCAGCATAGCAACTAATTACTTACTACTTGAGTAACCGATTGTACGGTGGTGGTATTTGAATATGCGTTCAGACTCGTTCCAGGTGGACTGACTTCTTCCGTAGCAGTTGCAGGATCATCCTCCGTCCTCACCAACATCTTGACGCCTTCGGCTTCCAGATCAATTATACCGCCTCTTTGTTGCTGCCGTAAATACAGAGCAGCCATGTGATTTTGTAATTCTCTCAATTCAGCGGTAACAGCGAAATCGGTAGCGGCCTCAACATCGATTGGTGGAGGGGCTGACCACATGCTCGCGACATCGCAGTTGATCGATTCTCGACAAACGGGACATATAGCCTAGAAGAAAGATAAATATGAATGAATAAATATAAATATAAGCATAAAATGAAAGACAAACATTTCACAAATTACTATAAAATATGAAAAAAATTCTGCAACAACTTTTCAGTAGTATATTTCATTTATAATACAAACATACTTGAAACTTATTTGTGGTATCTTGTTGCCACTGCGGTAATTTCTCTTGCTCTTCTCTGTAATACTTCTCAGCAGCGGAAACATGTGATGCCAAACAGTGCGAATGAAAATAATGATAGCATTCTGTTTTTGTAAATTCATCCCCCTCTCGGAATCCATATAAGCACACAGCACACTGATCAGTAGGAAGATTGCTTCTCGTCAGATGTTCTCGTATTAACTGGATTACCACCATCATCATCATCATCATCATCATCATCATCATCATCATTATACATTATTATATGGACTAAAATGCTATTGTTATCATTATTTGTTATTATATCATATTTTCTAAAATATTAGAATTTGTCTATGAAAAGAGCTTCAATTTTAGACAGTAATCAATACAAAAATCCATGAATATCTTGTCATATTTTATTCCAATTATGATTACGATATCTTATTATATTTTATTGTATTGTTTTGTCATGTTATTATATTATGTTTTATTTGTCCATAAATATCATTTATGTTATTTAACAAACAAATTTAAATTCTATAAGCCGAAAATATGAAACAAAAATGATACAAACTTTCTAATGTGACAAAAGATTTGTTATACATCAAAATATCATTATTACTAATTGTACATAATTATTAAAGTTAAACATAAATAATTCTGAATATTTTTTTATGTAACTATATTTTATGTAACTATTTAATTGAAAAAAAATGTTAATGATTTTCTTTTTTTGAGATTTTTCTAGCTAGATAATAATATCTAGATATCAATATATATAGAATTGCAATTATGTTGATGTTTAAATTGTACATATAAAATAAATACATGTATATACATCAAAAAGATCATAAAAACATGTAGAGTAACATGACAAAGGCTGACTTATAGGTAATAAGTTTTGGATTTAATTCAAATGTTATTCAAAAAATATATTTTGATATTTATAAAAGATTGATTAAAGAGTTAAATTTTGAATGAAAGAATATAAGATTGTTATAATATAACATTGTAACTTGTTTTAGAAAGAATTAATACATACACATAAGAATGTGAAACAACATGATATGGAAGAACATGATATATATAAATAATAACGATAAATGTATGTATGTTAGTACTATTTTGCAAAGTATAAAAAAACAATTATTAAAAAAAAGAAACTAATAGGATAATTCCTTACCTCGATTAATTCGAACATGACTGGTTGACCTATGAAATCCTTACATTTGGCTTCAGCGTCAGATTGCATCAGCTTTACCGTATCCTCATCTAAACCTCTTGGGTTTCTCAGATTGATAGTCGGCGAGACATCGGGATAACCCGAGGGTAATCGTACAATTAGCGTGACACAAACATATTGCGATTGTGAATCCTCGCCAGTTGATGGAAATAATATTGTCTCAATGCACTCTGGTTCTCCTCTAAATAAATATAATTAGAAACATATCAGATAAAAGTAAAGTTTGAAACAATAACAATATTTAATACAATATTACAATCAATATAT